TCATCCCCTGGCCTGCTCGCTCCCCTGATCTCTCACCAATCGAGGACATGTGGGATGTGATGGATCGGCGCCTTCGACGTCAACCACGTGTTCCACAGACACTCCAGGAACTTCGAAACATGCTCCAGCAGATATGGACAGATATCACACAGGACTTTGTGCGACGCCTGGTCTAGTCCATGCGACGAAAATGTGATGCTTGCATCGCAACCAGAGGTGGACACACACGCTGTTGATTTGTAAATCGACATTTTGGCATGTTCATGTTTTTTTAGGAAAAAAGTCAGTATGGCAAATTAAACCATTTAAACTCTTACAGGAGTCTTTTATCTTTTGCAAACCAAAATTGTTTCAGATTTGGTAACAAATATAAATTTGCATTAAATCTTATTCAATGTCACAGGAACTTTTGTTGTTCAGTATACTTCGTCGCCAGTTTCATGTGCCAACTTTTCACTTGAAAATGCACGTGTAGATGCTGACGTCAACAACGCTGCACCTAGAGAATAACATCTACATGATTGCCTCCACAAAACACACATCGTCATGTTATACAGGTGCACCAAGGGTAAGTGGTGCCAGTCAAGTGTGAATGATGCTATATTGGCATGGCAAGACAATCCATAGTAGATCTAATTGGCACGTGTAACTGATTTCACGCATAATCTGTAGGTGATTAGATGCAAGTATGTGTTAGATCATAGTTTGGTTTCTTTGCGGTTATGCCCGTATCACGCAGACAAACTCTAAGGATGCATATACTACGCACGCAGTCTTCATATTGGCCATGTGCTGTGCTGATGTCAAATGATGATATTAAAATATGTCTACACACCAGTTCAATTTCAATAGCTGAATGTCGGTCTTCATTATGTGACATATGATTGCGTTGCCATGTCTACACACCAGTTCAGTTTCAATAGCTGAATGTCGGTCTACATTATGTGACATGTGCATGTGGTGCCATGTCTACACACAAGTTGAGTTTCAATAGCTGAATGTCAGTCTACATTATGTGACGTGTATGTGTCGCTATGTCTACACACCAGTTCAGTTTGTGTTAATTTGTCTTCATTTAGGACGTATCTACTATACAACGGATAACATCAAATTTCAAAACACAGTAAGTTGATCACTATTCTACCATGACGAAACGAGCGCTTTGACAACGCTCTTGGGACACGTAACTACACATAGATACAAAACATTCAAACAAAACAAACCTAACAGGTGTCACAGGTAGTATAAATGTACGAATTATTACTAAAGTTCAAGGGGGACACGGATGGCCCAGTCGTCTAAGGCGCAGGGATTCTCTGTGCAGAGCTGCGTCCCTTGGGGACGACCGAAACCTATGTCAGCACCATTCCCGTGCTCGTCGGTTTCACTGAAGCCGTAAACGTCGGGGACCTGCATCACTTTGGGAATACAGTTGGTGGGAGCATGAAATGATGCAGAGAGTAGGGGTTCAGCAATGTTTGTTTGTTTGTTTGTTGTTTTACGCCGCACTTAGCAATATTCAAGCTATAAGACAGCAGTCCGTAAATAATCGAGTCTGGGCCAGACAATCCGGTGATTGACATTATGGGCATTGATCCACGCAATTGGGATCGATGATATGCATATGTTCAGCACTAAAACATGAGGACACGGGTATGGTACTGACACAACAATACTCAACATCAGAGGGAATCTGAAATTCGAACGCTCGGTGATAAGATCATCACACACTTAAGGAATAGCAATTCAACGCACAATCAAAAGAGAAGCTTTGCCAAGAACAACATCACCAACATACACACGCCACATTTAACAGCAATCGGAAGATAACATGTACCATCCTTTTAATTGTTATATGCGCTTATATGGTAGCAAGGCTCAGGTCCCTTTGGCTCCCAAGGCAAACAACTTTGTGATTGTGTTAAAAGTGAATTATCGAGGCACAGTTGGCGCACCCAACATTAGTCCATCTGGGAGTTGATCAAGTAAACAGACCTGACAAGGCTTTTTTTAGAATTTGCTTCGCAGCTTCAGTTTCTCATCTCTTATTTATACCAGTTTTATGTATGTGGCATAGGTGATAATAAAGACAGTACAGAAGCTGTGTGTAAATAGATTTAATTTCTGTTGAAAGACCACATGTAACTTGGTCATGCACAACCCACTCACCACTCTGAGGCCTTTGATTCGAGCAGTTATGGCATCGATGAAATTGGAAGGCAGTTCTATGGAGCAATTAATCTGTAATTCCAATTAGTCCGTTGGTACCTCTCTTGTTATACATGTCCATGTTTAGACGTGTATGTATTGACATGCTCAGGGCGATTCACATGTTGTGTCAGCGTATAGTCCATGTTTAGATGTGTATATATTGACATGCTCAGGACTTTACACATGTTGTGTCACCATGGAACTTTAAACCTTAGACATCTCGTCACGGAACTTGCATTATCACCATGGAACTTTAAACCTTCGACATCTCGTCACGGAACTTGCATTATCACCATGGAACTTTAAACCTTCAACATCTCGTCACAGAACTTGCATTATCACCATGGAACTTTAATCCTGCGACATCTCATCACGGAACTTGCATTATCACCCATGGAACTTTAATCCTGCGACATCTCATCACGGAACTTGCATAATCACCCATGGAACTTTAATCCTGCGACATCTCATCACGGAACTTGCATTATCACCCATGGAACTTTAAACCTTCGACATCTCGTCACAGAACTTGCATTATCACCATGGAACTTTAATCCTGCGACATCTCGTCATGGAACTTGCATTATCACCATGGAGCTTTAATCCTGCGACATCTCGTCACGGAACTTGCATTATCACCATGGAACTTTTATCTTGCGACATCTCGTCATGTCAAGATAGGCAACATTGTCCATGGAGCAGTGAAACTTCGACGTCTCATCATGAATACTTTCTTTACGACTCACAGAACGCTGATCCGTAGATGTCTCATCACATAAGATGCTAAATAATCCATGAAATAGTAAAACCCTTGAAGTCTCATCATTAAACCATTGTTGTCTATTTAATAATGAACAAAACCTTCGAAGTTTCATCATTAAACCTGCCTAATAATCAATGAATACTGCGCAATGGATGTCTTTTGCATAGCATTCGACACAATTATCGAAATGTGGCCTATGTATCAATGACGAAAAATAAACGACAAAGCTTTGATTATTAAATTGAGAAAGGATGTCAACACGAGCCAAATTTGACTCATGTAATAAGTCTATAGAAACTTGTGAATATAAATCTGAAGCATCATGTATCAAATACAAAAATAGGAAACAACTATTTCTTGTAAGCTCTTACTTGGACTGTTCTGCAAGGTAAAAGTATGTATGTTATAATAATCCAAGTGTGTCAAGAAAAATGTATTAGACAAACGCCATACTTGGGGGATAAAGGGGCGTCCAAACAACAGGTAGAGGGCACCACAACAAGGTGCATCTCCTGAATCGCTCACCTCGTCGAAAGGGTTTAACGTCGCCTCCAAGATTAATGCACTTATAAAGCGACGTGCATACATGCCTCTGTGTGTGGCTGCTTGTACTAGTATGCTGACTCCGAGCCGACCAGTCCTTGGTTAAGCCTCTTAATGCAGAGCGCCAGACAGGGTAACAACAAGTACTATATTTTAACATCTATCACTAGACCACGGGAAGGAAACATAATTTATAATAATCCCTTTCTGGAAAATGAACACTGCTGATGTCATGCGGCGTAAAGCTTAGGAAGACGATTTCACAATTAATATACTATTATAAAAAGTAGGGGATATTTCATTTTGTGATCATACTTGTAACAAATGCAAATGAATACGAGACATAAGTAACGCGGACGCTCTACCACTAGACCACAGGGACGCTGACAGGAAAGGAAATATAATTTATAATAATACTTTTCTTTAAAATGAACACTGCTGATTTTATGCGGTGTAAAGCTTAAGAAGACGATTTCACACTTGAAATAGGTAATAATTAATATAAATTATGTTTGGATTTATTTATTAATGATACGACTGTCACTGTAAGCCGCTAATGTGAAGTTCACAGGTCATTCACCATATCCCTCAAATGGCAACTCTTCTTTACCACCTCCACATAAAGATCCAGAAAATATAAGACAGTTCAGCTTGTACGTATTGACATGCTGAGGTCTATACACATGTTGTGTCAGGGAACTGTCCATGTTTAGCTGTGTACATTTTCACATGCTCTTGGCGACACACATGTTGTGTCAGGGTACAGTCCATGTTTAGCAGTGTACGTCTTGACATGCTCAGGGCTATCACTAGACCACGGAAAGGAAACATAATTAATAATAATCCCTTTCTGGAAAATGAACACTGCTGATGTCATGCGGTGTTAAGCTCAGGAAGACTATTTCACACTTTACATAATTAACGCGGACGCTCCACCACTAGACCACGGGCCGCTGACAGGAACGGAAATATAATTTCACACGTTAAATAGGTAATAATTAATATAAATTAATATAAATTATATTTGTATTTATTGTCAATGATACCATTCCTTTATGAATTATTTGTTATTGCCAATGTGAAGTTCGCAGGTCATTCGTCATATCCCTCAAAAGACATCTCATCTTTACCATTTCCACATAAAGATTCTGATAAACAAGTCCCTCCACTGGTGATCCAGAAAATATAAGACAGAGACACAACACCCAAGTAAATACTCATGGCCAGTTACGTTTCCAGATAAACGTGACAGATGAAGGCGGAATTTCCTTCATGAATTATTTGTTATTTACCAGACATGTGTGTGTTTTCATTCGAAAAAAAAAATCAGGACACAAATGAATTTACATTTCAGTATTGATTGTATTGAATTCCTTCTGTCTTCCTTTCTTAATCAATTAATGTGACGCAGTGACATAGTATACCCAGTGACGTTAATCGTATGTCGATCGTGTGAGGCTTTGTTTGTTGTGATCGTGTGAAGTTAGTCTTCATGGAGAAAATACCTTTCCCTTTACAAGGAAGCAAACATTAATACTAATGGAATACACATACTAAATCCCTTCTACTTTTGAGACATAGTCTCAAAATTGAACGCACCACTGTATTTGCCCTGGAGACCCCGCTAGCTGAATGTGTCTTTCAGTGACTGGCAACAATAACTGAGAGACCCGATGAGCAAATTGGAACGCAAAAAAGGGGCAGATTGTGTTTCCTGAGTGACGGAGAACGCACTGTCATGTGGATATGATGTGCTGGGTCACAAGCTTTAAATGAGGTGGAAGGTTTTGCTCTGTGCGCCGTATTCATTATGAAAGTGTTTCAAAAGTCTATCCTCGCTATATTTGGATTCAATTTTTCGTATGTCTTAACTCTCTTATTGTACAATACGGACAGCTGCACTAATGTGACTTTCTACAGAAGATTGGAAATGGATGATCTGATGTTTGCCGGGAGTCCGATCGAAGAAATCAGCCAGGTGGACAAGAGGGCTGAGTGCTTCTCTCAGTGTCAGTGGCGGGTAACGTGTAACATGGTCTTGTACAACCCCCTTATTAGAAAGTGTAAATTGTACACTGAAGCCTTTGATTCGAGGAGTGATGACTCTGTTGAAACCGGATGGGAGTACTATGGAAGTGAGTATGATGAGATATGATGATTATTTGCTTGTGTCAAGGAAGTAAGACCCATGTTATGAGGTTCAGTCTTGTAGAATGCTTAGAAAAAAAGAGTTTGTTCAACACCTACGACACAAAGGTCTGATTTTACAGGGTGATTCAGGATAGCCTACTGAACATAAATCTATGTAAATCCAAATTATAGGGTAGGTACAAAACTAAAAGGAGTCCAAGCCAGGTACGTATTTAAAATATTAGGTTTATTTTAGAAAGTTCGGCACTTCAAAGTTCGATTGAACGGTGGTTGACTGTATATCTGCATGTGGGATAGAGGCAAGATTTGTAATAACTGTCACACAAGGCAAACACTTATGAAACACAGATTTCTTGTTGTAGAATGCCTTGTATTTAAACTGGCCGACATTTGTACTATTTCAAAACAACTTACAATGTTGTCACTGGAACCGTTTGGCTTTAGGCCCAATATGAGAAAATGAATATATATACTTATAAATCACGCTTCATCATACAAAATGGAAACCTATCTCCATTTTTCTACAATGAAAGGGGATGTAGACAAGAAGACCCAATGTCCCCCTATCTATTCGTGCTCGTTGCAGACATTTTGGGAGTAATGATTAGTGATGATAATGCAATAAAACGTATCAAACTGAATTAAACATATTCTGTGCTGATGATACAGAAATATGTCCAGATGGGACTGGTATATCTATTATGTTAAGTACAAGTGGAAATATTTCGAGCATATCCTCTGTGTTAAGATTGCATGCTTGCAAAAGTTGGTGTTGGCTCTTTGCACCACCTACGTGGTCTGGTAAATAGAGCATCAGCCCGGAGAGACGAAGATCGTGGGTTCGATCCTTGGCCACGTACTACCAGAGAACTTTAATATGTGATACTTTTGTCACTCTGCCTGGAGAGTGGCATGGTATATCAGTGGGCCAGCACTAAAGAACCCGCATTAGTCTGGACTGGTACAAGCAGACACACACACACACACACATCCACGCACACAAACGTGCATGCACGTCGCTATATAAGTGCAATAATTTTGGATGCGACGTTAAACCCCATTTCATTCACGTCACTTCACTTCACCCTTAACCACTGATGTCTGTTATGGCTGATATAAATAAAATAATTCCTACTTCGTCCCCAGTTTCATGTGCCGACTTTACACTTCAAAATGCACGTGCAGATGTTAACGTCATCAACACTGACCCTAAAGATGTCTGCAACACCAACAGCATTGCCTCTAATGACAACACGTCATCCTGTTACACAGGTGCATCATGGGAAGTGGTGCCAGTCAAGTGTGTGTCGTGCTACATAGGCATGACAAGGCAATCCATGGTAGGTTCACATTGATGTGTATCCCTTTGTCGGCATCAGGGATGATTGAATAAGATATATTGAATAAGATTGACTATTACCAACACAAATTTTGTTTATTTTTTTTAAATGGGTAAACGAAAGAAGCGGTAAAACTTAGCTTTAGCTCTGTTTATCTGTGTCGTGTTTACACTGATATCCCAAAGTTGCAGTTTGTGAAAATGTAAGAGCAATGCATGAGTTACATTTGATAACGAGTACTACAGCTTTCTATTAACTTGTACATGTGACTATGCGATTCCAGATAGGACAATTGGCCCAAGCTTGTTGAAAGACTACAAACTGGATCCGGATATCATGCTCGGTGACTTGGTTGATGACCTGTCGTCATATCCGAATTGTGTTATTACTGGATTGTCTCGCCCTGCCTCGATTAATTACCTACCACTGTCATGATACTGGAACATGAAACACACATACAAGGCTGCTTTTTCTTTTACACATTGGACGCAAGTGATGTGTCGCCTGGGTTACAATTTGCTGGCAGCCTATACAAATTGTGACATATCAATTGATACATATATATGATGAACCCAAATAAATACATGTGTGTTCCTATTTGAATTTTCTTTAAAATGTCGTTTCTTTAAACAGATTCCATCCATGGAATATTCAGAAGATTTGAACTTTGACCTTACTGCAGGGATGAAGCTGAGACTGGCAGTGTCTGGAGACACGATTGACCAGTAAGTAAACGAACAGTTAACTACGCTAATAATGAACTCAAATGGACCACTATTTTAAGTTCGTTATAACCGTAGTTCGTTATAAGCATACAAACAACATCTGAACAACTGACAGGGATAAAAAAAAAAGTTCGTAAAATCTGTCAGTTCGTTATAAACGTATTTTATTGTATTCACATATTACTTTGGGACCATAGCAGAAGTGTTTCATAATCGTACCGTATGTAAAGAACATACTCGCCTTAGATTTGTATACCTGCATAACAATGTATCATCAATCTTGATTTCACAGAAGATTTTGTTTGGGTGGGATCAAGCTGTTGCAAAAACGTCACATTTAAATAACATCACACGTTTCAATGCAGGTTGACTGTTAAGACCGTGGATATTACTGTTCAGAGCAATAACAGAGCAATATTAATATGTTATGTGAAGCCATTCCCATTCCCTCAGTCAGGGTCATGCATAAATTTATAAATTTTGTTTATGCTGGAACATAAACAGTATAAATGCATACTATGTACCATGTATCCTGTGTGTTATTGCAGCAACAATGTCTTCTTTGAAGCCCAGAACACGGACTTTGTGTACGTATTGTCTTTGAGATGGAGCAAAAGCCCAACTCGAGCCGTCTTCAATACACTGCAGGGGGGGGCCTTTGCTACAGCAGAAGTGGAGCTCGGTGTTTCAGTCAATGACATCAATAACTACGTCATTGAAATCCACATCAGTAAGACTCATTTTATGGTGAGTTCATTGTCAGTTAATATGTGGCTCTGAAGGTGACTTACATGACGTAATCCAGATACATTCCCATCATTAGACAATTGCCTCACCCCGCACAAGAAACGGGTTCCGTTTTGTGTATAGAAAATAATGATTTTTGACATGCTCATAATGTCTCTTCAATGATACATTTTCGGTACACATAATGCTGTAATGTCACCGTCTTCTTTCCAGACGTATGCTGACGGGACTCTGTTGATGACCAACCAGATGCGTCTCCCTATCACTGGTGTCCGACGTGTCACTGTGGAAGGTCTCACGGCACTGCACAGTTTCCACATTGGCTATGTGCTGTGCTGATTTCCACTCAGGACATCCACAATTACGCTGCATCAAGATATGACTCTGTGTAGACATCATTTGTGTATGTGTGGCCTTCAAACATGACCATCCCGATTATGTTTCTATGTTTGTCAGCACCATACCCGTGCTCGTGGGTTTCACTGAAGTGGTAAACGTCTGAGACCTGCATCACTTCGGGCTTTCCTCCCACGCTGACACGCCGTGATATGACTGGAATAATGTTAAAAGCGGCGTTAAGCCCAACTCGCTCTCACTCAAAAATGACCAAACAATCATATTCGTAAGAAAGCTCTACCAAAAGCAGTGCCCAACGTGCGATTCCAACTAAAGCATGACATGTGTTTATGAATCGCTATAAAATAGAGATGATGCCAGATGCTCGCGGAATGGTGAGGCAATCCTGCTCCACTGGTATAGCTATCAAGCTAGCTTATGTAGAGGAGATATTATTGAAGTTACCTCTGATTAAATAATGAAAACTGCATCAATGGAATACATTCAAGTGAGTGAGTGAGTTTGGTTTTACACCGTTTTTAGCAACATTCCAGCAATATCACGGCGGGGAATACCAGAAATGGGCTTCACATATTGTACCCATGTCGGGAATCAAACCCGGATCTTCGACGTGCCGAGCGAACGCTTTAACCACAGGGCCACCCGATCGCCCCTGATACATTAAAGAAAAAGATACAATTATTTATCAGAACACTATTAACGAAATTCTTACAGTGCTGAATTTGTTGTTTGTGGTCTTCATGCTGTTACTCAATATCCTCTTACCGAATTGGCAAATGATCTACTCTCGTGCTACCATTATCTCTGAAACATGAAAATTGGTCTCCCTTTGTTCAAAATTGTATCTGATATGGGGGAAAACGGTCCCTGCTAGAGACAAAAATGGGAAACAGCATCTCAGTTTCTCGGCAAAGGCGTGAGTGAATGAGTGAGTTTGGTTTTACGTCGCTTTTAGCAATACCAGCGCCCCTCTCGGCAGAGGAAGCTACGTAGGATGTGATAGATGTTTGGTTGGAATGAATGTTTGACATAATGCCCAGACGTTACATCACCGCTACCCAAGCTCATAAATCCATACTGGTCAGATATTGTTAGACAAGCACAGTAACCAGTCTCTCAATTTGATACATTCTGTTTCCAAATGACAAGTTGTTTCGCACTCGGCTGATCATTGTCGACTTTTCTAGACTTGCTCTGTTTTACTGTTTGACTGTTTAGTGGAATTTTGTAGCTTGTAGACAATAGAAATTCAACATACTTGACAGGTTTTCTTTGACAATCACAGTCACCGGTCTCTCATCTTGACACATTCTGTTTTAAAATGACACATTTTATGGTATTCGGCTGACAAATGTCGCCTTTTTCTAGATTTGCTGTATTTTATGCAATATTTGGTAAAATAAACGCTTGACTGTTTAGCAGATTTTTGGTAGCTTATAGGAAATATGAAAACAATGAAAACTGGTCAGATATTCTTTGACAAGCACAGTAACCGGTCTCTTACCTTGACACATTCTGTTTCAAAATGACACATTTTTAGCACTCAGATGACAAATGTCGACTTTTTCTAGACTTCCTTAATGTAAAAGAACATTTGGTGCAATAAACTTTTGACTGTTTAGTGCAATTTTGCAGCATGCAGGAAATGTGAAAAGAATCCAAAGTGGTCTGATATTCTTTGACAAGCACATTAACCGGTCTGTCATCTTGACACATTCTTTCTCAAAATGTCACATTTTCCCGGCCTCCGGCTGACAAATGTCGCCTTTTTCTAGTCATACTGTATTTTACAAAGTATTACAGATGAATAAACTTTTAACTGTTCAGTGGAGTTTTGTAGCTTGTGAACAATAGGAAAACAATCAATACTGGTCAGATATTCTATGACAAGCACAGTAACCGGTCTCTCATCTCGACACATTCTGTTTCAAAATGACACATTATTTCGCACTTGGCTGACAAATGTCGACTTTTTTCTAGATTTGCTGTATTTTAAAGAATATTTGGTTGAATAAACATTTGAGTGTTTAGTGGAATTTTGCAGCTTGTAGGAAATATGAACACAATCAACACTGGTTACATATTCTTTGACAAGCACAGTAACCGGTCTCTCACCTTGACACATTCTGTTTCAAAATGTCACATTTTTTTCGCGCTCGGCTGACAAATGTCACCTTGTTCTAGATTTGCTGTATTTTCAAGACTATTTGGTGCAATAAACTTTTGCCTGTTTAGGGGAATTTTGCAGCATGTAGGAAATGTGAAAATAATGCAAACTGGTCAGATATTCTTTGGCAAGCACAGTAACCGGTTGCTCATTCTGTTTCAAAATGACACATTATTGGTACTCGGCTGACAAATGTCGCTAACAGTCTAGACATTTGCGTTTTATCGCAACGTAGACACGTATCAAGGCTTACAATCTAGACATTGGCGTTTTATCGCAACGTAGACACGTATATATGCTAATAGTCTTGACATTGGCGTTTTATCGCAATGTAGACACGTATCCAGGCTAACAGTCTAGACATTGGCGTTTTATCGCAACGTAGACATGTATCTAGGCTCACTGTCTAGACATTGGCGTTTTATCGCAACGTAGACACGTATATAGGCTAACAGTTTAGACTTTTGCCTTTTATCGCAACGTAGACACGTATCCAGGCTAACAGTCTAGACATTTTCGTTTTATCGCAACGTAGACAAGTATCTAGGCTCACTGTCTAGACTTTGGCGTTTTATCGCAACGTAGACACGTATCTAGGCTAACAATCTAGACATTGGCGTTTATCGCAAGGTAGACACGTATCTAGGCTAACAATCTAGACATTTGCGTTTATCGCAAGGTAGACTCGTATCTAGGCTAACAGTCTAAACTTTGGCGTTTAATCGCAACGTAGACACGTATCTAGGCTAACAATCTAGACATTGGCGTTTTATCGCAAGGTAGACACGTATCTAGACTAACAGTCTAGACTTTGGCGTTTTATCGCAACGTCGACACGTATCTACGCTAACAGTCTTGACATTGGCGTTTTATCGCAACGTAGACACGTATCCAGGCTAACAGTCTAGACATTGGCGTTTTGTCGCAACGTAGACACGTATGTAGGCTAACAGTCTTGACATTTGCGTTTTATCGCAAGGTAGGCACGTATCTAGACGTACAGTCTAGAATTTGGCGTTTTATTGCAACGTAGACACGTATCCAGGCTAACAATCTAGACACTGGCGTTTTATCGCAACGTAGACACGTATCTAGGCTAACAGTCTGGACTTTGGCCTTTTATCGCAAGGTAGACACGTATCTACGCTAATAGTCTTGACATTGGCGTTTTATCGCAACGTAGACACGTATCTAGGTTTACAGTCTAGACTTTGGCGTTCTATCGCAACGTAGTAGGAGTGATTCACCATGATATCGTTTAGGTACAGATCAGTTTTGTATGTGATGGAAAAAGGAAGATAATAGACAAATATTTACATAACTGCTTTGTCTCATCAAGGTACCGCTGGGGTTTTCGTTTTCTTCATGTACATATTTTTTGTTGAATAAATATCTGTGTAATGAAACTGGGTATATAGACTAGTAACGCCATAACATTGCAGACATTCCAGACATTCTACGACACTCCATAATAGACCAGAGGTGCCATACCATTCCAGACACTCCATAATAAACCAGACGTGGCATACCATTCCAGACATTCCATAATAGACCAGACGTGCCATACAATTCCAGATATTCCATAATAGACAAAACGTGCCATACCATTCCAGACATCCCATAATAGACCAGACGTGCCATACAATTCCAGACATCCCTTAATAGACCAGACGTGCCATACTATTCCAGACATTCCATAATAGACCAGACGTGCCATACCATTCCAGAAATTCCATAATAGACAAGACGTGCCATGCTATTCCAGACTTCCCATAATAGACCAGACGTGCCATACAATTCCAGACATTCCATAATAGACCAGACGTGGCATTCCATTCCAGACATTCCTGACATTCCTCACTTCCCCTTCAGGGACACCACCCTCTGTTCTCGCGGACGATACTACATACCTCCCATTGTGTTTCCATTGTCCCATTACCACAAAAGGAGGTTTTGGGCTTTGTTCTCACCATCGACTAGTTTTATTCTTTCTATTTAAGGGGGCACGGGTGGCCCAGTCGTCTAAGGCGCCGCGATTCGCTGTGCAGAGTTGCGTCCCTTGGCCACGCCAGAAATCTATGATTGTGGGTTCGAATCCGGGTTCGCCCCGATTATGTTTCTAGGTTTGTCAGCACCATACCCGTGCTCGTGGGATTCACCGAAGTGGTAAACGTCTGAGACCTGCATCACTTCGGGCTTTCCTCCCACATCAAGCTGACACGCCGTGATATAACTGGAATACTGTTAACAGCGGCGTTAAACCAAACTCACTCATTTACTCACTCACTTTCTATTTAAAATGAGTTATTCTCTGTATCTTTATAAATAACAACGTCAATGCCAACGAATATCCAGTATTAATCCTCTGACAAAACAGATTCCACTCGACGCAAAAGACAAAACAGCGGTGAAAATTGTATGATTGGATCGCTGAAAATCAGTGGCTCAAGGTGTTCGCGAAAAGGCTAAACATGTCCCGTCCTTACCAGCAAACACCCTCCGATCACATAACTTGTCGAACAAATATGAAATTTTCATGTAAAAGGAATTAAAATAAAAAAGAAGCTTGCACATGTAGCTTCACGGACCACTTACCACAAGCGAGTGATAATGGAGTGTTTTTGCCATTGTATTCAGGGGATTAGGTTTTAGGGGGAATGAAGAACAACATTGGCATGACCTTTCCGGGACAAAACACATACACAATAAAAGTGAAAATATAAAATGGGCGGAATGCGGATCAACATCACAAGCATTACAAGTTTCCAGCTCTCACACACATGACGCGGTGAGCGGAGATGCATCTCAAATACACTGTGACGCGTGAAGATAAAACTCAGACACACCTTGGCGAGCGGAGATGCAGCTCAGGCACACTGTGGTGAGTGGAGATGCAGCTCAGACACTCCTCTTTGGTGAGCCGAGATGCAGCTCAGACAAACCATGGCGAACGGAGATGCAACTCATACACACAGTGGCAACTGTAGATTCAGCTCAGACACACCGTGGTGAATAGAGACGCAGCTCAAAAACCCCTCTATGGCGAGCGAGATGCAAGTCAGGCAGATCGTAGCAAGTGGGGATGCACCTGAGACACACTGCAGTGAGTTGAGATGCAACTCAGACACACAGTGGCGAGTGGAGATGCAGCTCAGACACACCACGGTGAGCAGAGATGAAGCTCAGTCACACCACGGCGGATGAAGATGCAGATCAGGAACACCGTTTAGAGCGGAGATGCAGCTCATGCACATCGTGGAGAGTGAAGACGCAGCTTAGACACCCCTCTATGGCGAGCGGAGATGCAATTCAGACACATCGTAGCAAGCGGAGATGCAGCTGAGACACACCGCGGCGAGCAGAGATCCAGCTCAGACACACTGGCGGCGAGCGGAGATGCAGGGCAGACACACCGCGGCGAGCGGAGATGCAGGTCAGACACACTGGCGGCGAGCGGAGATGCAGGGCAGACACACTGGCGGCGAGCGGAGATGCAGGGCAGACACACTGGCGGCGAGCGGAGATGCAGGTCAGACACACCGCGGCGAGCAGAGATGCAGCTCAGATACAGGCAGTGAGTGGAGATCAAGCGCAATCTCCGGCCGTTTTCTCAATTCTCTCCCAGTCGTCCGTACACTAGCTGTCGGAATACCAGTACACCTAAAGATCTACATGGATCGTATAATGCACAGACACACGGTTAGGGCACATACATAAATATTACAAATTCTCAGATGGGAATTAGGCGCTAATTGAAGCAATGAAGGGGAAACCTTTCTGTTTCAGTTATTATACAGTTTTGGCTGAGTAACAAGAAAGCACAGCCATATATCAGATTAAAGTTGACATGAACCTAAATTACAGTATAATATATAATTAAATCTAACACAGAAAACTTCATAACAAAAAGGTGTAAGTATCAAACTGTAATGTAATTTTCAAACAACAATTATATAATGTGAGAAGGATAACATGCTGTGTCAGGAACTTAAGGTCCCAAATTTCCCACTTTATGTTATCAGTGTCTTAACATTGATGTGTGATCAGCTTCTCATCTGCATATTCCTGTCTATGCTTGAAGGCTGTGAGCCTGCATGACCAACAAAGGGTGGTAGCTGAAGTGAGAGGATATAAGACATAGCAATGCGTGTTTGTGTTAGTGTTGCCTTTGAAGTACCAGCTTCCAAGTAACTGAACGCAATTTTCAAGAAATTTTCATGGAACTTCGACCAAAATATTAACTGGTTACACTCAACAACTGAGATTCGGTGTGCATTGTCTTGGACAACTAAGACAAATTGATACATTTTAATCAAGCGTTTGTATTCTGTTACGTGTCAACTTCCTAATTAAAACAATAAGTTAAAAGAGCAATGGCAGTACAAGACCAATCGCAGTACCAAATTCATTATCAGTGGTTATAACAATAAAGACGAGAATTATAATATGTACCTAGCAGCAATTCCAAAAATAGGCTTAGATTTGATATCTAGTGTCAAAAGTGATCTTCACACATCTGCTGGACTTGATGTAATGTGAGATGAGAGAGGCACGCTAATGCCCCCTCAAATAGCCTAAATCCATTCTTGCAGTGTATACAGTGTCTTGCTGTACTGGAACACTCCAATAGAGTCAAGGTTAGACCTGGCTACACAAGCATCTAAACATAGTAACTTCCACATCACTGTTTACATTAGATAGTACTACATTGCAGACGACATTGTCCAAACACAATGATGTGGACTTCTAATGAAACAGAGACAATATATGATTAGACTCACATCAAAGACTCACAAAAAAAAGAATGTGAATGTGTATACTATACATAGACTGCA